TGTGATAATGATTTGACAACAAATAGATAGACGGACAGCTCAACATACCGCTATCTCTTTTGCACTTGGTATAACGCTCGCCGCTCTCGCCGCCCTCGCTGGTGAAGTATTTAAAAACAATAAAACATATTTAATCAAGTAATGTATTGGAAATACCTAACTGGAAAAATGTTGAAGAAAAGCTATGATTGAATGCATTTTATTTTTTTTTACTAAAAAAATATTATTAAGTAGTGTGCAAATATCACGTTGTATACTAAAATACTAAAGGTATTGGATACATATACTTTTCGTATTTACCGCCACTAATATGGTAGTCGAGCGTTGTGTAACAAATCGAGCTATTTGTTGTCACATCATTATCAACACATTATCAGGATAAGCTTTAATGATGTGACAACAAATAGATGAACGACAACTGTAATGCAATAGTACACTTGTCGTCCATCTATTTATTGTCAAGTCATTATCACACATTGTCAGAGTAAGCACAAGCACACATAATATAATAGTATATCGCGTGAAGTTGTGAAGAAAGTTATAGCATTCAGTTTTCATCAGCTTATAACGTTCGTTAGCAGTGTGATTCTACGTGGCAGTAAATCGTAATTGTTGAGTCGTGATCAAAGTTTAGAACCGTTTTTTTATCTACTAGTAAATTTGCCTTTTTTTTTCTATTAACACTCGTAAAATTTTTCAATAACATTTGCAAAACACGTTTGTGTAACTGTATTTTCCTCACTTATTTCAAATTAGCCCTATTTCATTTTCGCGGGAAGCAACGTCTGTACCCTCGAAACTTGTTTAAAAATATTGACATTGACAAGTTATAAGGTTTTTTTGTGGTATAGAAATGAATCAACTTACAGAAACCAGCTGCGAGGTAAGTCGACTTCCATTCAAATGTTCGAGCATATTCCGGAAAAAACCGGCCGCATGATTTTTAACTTGAGAAGTAAAAGAAAGAAGCATTTTCTATCAGTTTTGAGGTAAAGAAATATTTACATATTGCAAAATAGATTAATTTTCGAACGCAACGTTATGTAGCTGTAGCTACTAGCTAATACCATGATGTAAAAATACGCGGTGCGCCGTTCCGACGTCTCATTTTCGTGCCGTTTTGCGCCTTCCATTGCGACGCCATATTTGAGGGAGACGTGGCTACTACAGCGGCGAAGAGTCTGTACAATGAAACGAAGCCGCTAAAGTTGAAACTAAAACTTATCACATGCACGCATCTCCCCTCGAATTGTATTTTTACATCATGGCTAATACCATGTGTTTGTATATCTATATACATGTGTTTACACAAACATCGAATAGAAAGATGTTAAAGGAAATGGATGATTGTGTTCGCAATTTTGGATCCATAATGGGTCCATTTGGTATAAAGTACTAGATGATGACATCACATGAATACGTGAAACGCATACACCCATTACATCGATATATGTGTTTATAGTAATATCGAATAGAAAGATGTTAAAGTAAATGGATGATTGTGTTCTCAGTTTTGGATACATATTGGATCCATTTGGTATAAAGCACTGGGACAGTGGTGGGTTTCCGACGCAACTCAGAGGTTAATGACACATACCTGTCAGAAATGTCAGAAACGTCAGTAATTAAAATACGCACTTAAATCTGAACCTAGTTATTTTATTTATATTTTTATTCAGGATATAGTCTTTGCACAGAAGGTTTATTTCGTAAAATTAAATATTTTTTCACTTTTACTTTTTTAACGACGTAAACTACGAGTTGGTTGTGAGATTAAGGAGCTACGAATTACTAAAATATGTAGTATACCCGGATTTTCGCGCGAAAACTACTGTAATTGAAAAGTTTTAAATAACAGAAACATCTTGAGGTATCTGAGATACCTGAGGTAACATACCTTAGGTAAGATACCTACCCACCACTGGTACTGGATGATGACATCACGTGAATACGTGATACGCATACACACACTATATCTATCTCTACATATGTGTTTAAACTGACATCGAATAGAAAGATGTTAAAGGGAATGGATAATTGAATCCAGACTTGATTCATTGTATTTATCAAGCCTGGATCCATTGTATTCGCAGTTTTGAATACATAATGGGGCCATTTGGTATGTACTAGATGATGACATCACGTGAATACGTGATACGCATCACACACTGACACACACTACATAGGCTTCGTGCACAAAGACACCAGCG